ATTTTCTTAGCCTTTATTGACTACTGTGTCTACCTGAACATTTGTTTGTTTAATCATGCTGTTTTTCGTTATTTGTGTTGTCACAAATTGCCACACTTTGTCATCCTTATTATTGATAAAACCATTGTTATTACTATGTTTTGATTATAGCTTGGTTCCACACGGTACTTTTGATAAAAGTATGGTGTTTTCAGCATTTGATATCGGTAGCCCAGATTTTTCAGGCCGACAATTGATTGATATCAGGTGTGCGTCGGTAGGCGATCGGACCCCGGAACCATGTGCATGGTCGGCGAGAGTCCTAACCGCTGTGCCACCGATTCACATATTATGACAAATTGCACAATTTATATTCACCATCTTATTATCCCACAGATAGAACACCATGATTGGTTTATATTTGAATTTTTATTTGTAAAGTTATGTATATTAGAGTTAAGCCTGATGAGATCTAATTGAAAACAATATTATTCGCTTAAATGTATTGTTCTAGATTTTACAATGAGAATATTTAATATATTACATATTGACAGAAATTAAAATTCGCTGGCAACTAGATTCTGACCAGTAGTCAGTTGGCCAATGGTCTAACACAGGAATATGAAGGCAGTAGGTTCAAACTATTGTGAGGTCATGGATGCTTACCGCTGAAGACTGTCAGAGTAGGAGGAGATGGTTGTCCAATACTCTCCGATTTTCATTTAGTTCTGTGACTGATATCAGCTTGTAATTTAACTAGGAATAAATAACTTAATTAATTGTCCGGAACCTACCCTTTTCGATTTCATATTTTTCATGTGCACAGGCATTTTCATAAGGAAGAGTGGCATAATTTAACATATTCTCTCTATTTAGCTTTATTATTTCGTGAAAATATATCTTACAGGATTATGAGTAGCGGATCATTTTAGAAACATCGCGGATAAATAATACTGTACCATTATGAGTTGTGTGTGTCGGCTGCACAGCGGTTAGGATGCTCACCGACCATGCACATTGTCCGGGGTTCGATCCCGGACCGACTCACTCCTTTACCTCGCTAAGCCAGAAACAAATGCTGGTATAGGGGAAAGGTTGGGCATGAGGTGGCTACCAACCCCATCCTGTAAAATTAAACACTGCTACAGAAACTTCAAGCCACTAGCTTGAAGCCCTATGTTCCACTGGGGAACGTAATGGAAAAAATATATATATGAGCTGTATGAAACATACTGTCTCTCTATACAATATAAATTTTACCTATTTTGATACTGGAGTCTGCGAGGCTCACTTGACCTGACCACTAAATTTGTCAAGAAACCATCTAATGCGAATTGTCGGTGATATTCCCTCTCATTGTGAGTAATAAATCTTTTGTCTTATTTCACAACCTAAAACCCTTTTGAGTCTAAACAACTAATCTAACGATATAAATAATCAAAGTCAACTTTTTGACATCTATAAGAAAAATAATTGTGATATATTGATTATCACTATGTCAGCTGCATAAGCGATGAAAAGATGCATCTTATCGACAAGGCGTAGTAATTGTCATTGTCCTTCTGACAAAATCAATTTATCGACTAATAGATTTAATATGCTCAATCTTGAATCAATAATAGCTTTTAAATAGGTGTTATGTTGACTATCGGTATCGACAATATTATTCTACCTTTATGTTGTTTTATCATCTTGTAAAAGTCTCATTGCAACTTATAATTTCATTTTTGTTCAGTTAACCTTGTCTACTTTGAAATCGATACATTATTTCTGATGTGAAGTTCTGACTTAAATTTCACTTAAATTTTCAAATGACTGCCTCAGGGAATATTAGAAGCTTTTGAACCTGTGCGTCAGTGGCACAGGGGTTAGGGCTCTCCCGACCATGCACATGGTCCAGAGTTCAATCCCTCGCCGACGCACACTCGGTATATGTGGTTGGCCTGCAAAATTTGGGCTACCGATATCACATGCTGACAATTCCATACCTGTACCAAAAAATACGGTGTGGAATGAAGCTGTAACCAAAAATAAAAAATAGATAAAATAAACACATTTATAGTAACATGTAAGGTGAGTAAATAAGTTGTCACTGAAAAGAATTCGCCTCCCTTTCGTCTCCGTCTACTTGAATAGGTAAAACGGAGGTGGGTGTTTACAATTTGAATTTCTTCAAGTAATTGGTTTTGTTTTGATTGTGTATTAAGTTTTCTATTGTTGGTTTGTAAATATTAGATTTGTTTTCACCAGTTGACCCTTTGATGACTCTAAACAATTTGTCTATAAGCACTGTAGAAGAACTTTAGATGCAGCTGCCGTCTTATATCATAACATTGCTTCCAGTCTAGACAAGGGGGCTAAATTTGTTCGTTATGCCTTCCTAGACTATACATCTGCTTTTGGCTCGATCACTAGGGACATCTTATTAAATAAACTTGCTGCTAGTCAAACAGAATGTTGGGCTGTTAACTGGTTACATTCCTATTTCTCAGATAGAAAGCAGTACACCGTATATAAAGGGAAGTCTTCCACTTCATTGCCTACTGAACCTGGTGAACCTCAGGGCGCTGTTCTTTCTCCTTTTCTTTTTTCTTTCTTCTTACATGACTTGCCTCACTCTGATGAAATAAACTTTGTGAAGTACGCTGATGATTTAACAGTTCCAGCTAGATTGTACCAAAATAAATAGCTTTCTGTCGGGAGTCAGTAAACGGTTTGAGTCTAACGGTCTTAAAAGGAATCCTTCTAAATGTCAAACTGTCAATTTCAGCTTAAGATGTAAAAGACAGCTAAAAGAAGTCATCGATTCTCAGGACAGTTGTAAGATTGACGACAATGATATAGGAATTAAATCAGAAATTAACTATCTTGGACTTATTCTCTCTTCTGATCTCTCCTGGTCTTCCCATGTCTTAGCGATCTCCAGTAAAATATTCCGCCTGACATTTTACACTAAGAAGTTAAGGCACTCGGGTATAACTCAACCCCTCCTCTTACAATTCATAAACTCTTGCATCCTACCTATTCTTCTATATTGTTCACCCTCATTCCTTCCTGGTTTGGTTAAACAGGACTTTACCAAGTCACAATTCGTAGAAGGCTGAAAACGGTCAGTAGGGTGAGTGGTGTCACAGTGGACCACATAGTTATCGATAAGCCCTTGACTTCGTGCAATAAATTTGCTAAAGGGATTTTGTCTGACTTGGAGAATCCACTTTACACTCAGCTTTCACCTTGCATCTCCTCAGGTAGAACAAGAAGTAACTTCAGAAAACTGTATGCTCGCACGTCTAAGTATTGAAATTCTATGATACTATACTTGGTACGTATTGTATGTGATGAAAATAGTGTCAGCCAACAAATAACTGACCTTTTTTCATCTAGTAAATGGACAATATCCTCCATCCATCCTTATATACTCTCAAGTTTTACTTTTATTATTCCTATTATATTTATGGTCCTGTTACTTCTCTGTTTGTTTTACTCTCATGATTGCGAACACCAACTTATCTCTATGACTACTATAATCTTTGTTTTTCCCCTCACCATATCATGTAAAGAGAACATTATATTCAATATTTTTAAACATGTTAGGATTTCTATATCGCATCGAGAATACTGTGTGAAACAAGCCCGCGGAAATTTTCACTTGTATTATTATTCCCTTAGCTGTTATCATTATTATTATTTCCATTTTATATGCTGCATGTTTTTGACATTACCCCTACTGTAAATGTAGAAAAATTTCTATGTGATTAATTTTATTTATAATTTGAGGAAATTAGACGCAATATTGTGATTAATGCTGAAAATTCCATTCTGTATCACAAATACTGTTTTGGGAATAAAGTAAAGCAAACTAACTATCCAGCTCAGAGAACAAGACCACATCAAAATTATCCACCTGAGCTACAAATCTTCTCTATCATATCTAAATCATTATTATTATTGATATCAGTTAGAGAGCTATTAAAAACCAACACCGGAGTACTGGACAGCTGTTTCGTCCTACTTTGAGAATCACCGGCAGTACGCACTCACCACCAGCGTTCCAACCCAGGACTTTCCGGTTACAAGGCAAGCTCGTATACCATTCAGACACTGGAACCTGATTTAACGGCCAGTCCAAGAATTCTAACTTCTACTAATTCGTGATTTTGCGCGACCCAAACTAATCTGTATTAAGTACTTAGATGAATGCTGTAATCATTTCCACAAAATACGTTTGGCTGTTTTAATAGTGTTTTATCTATTTCTTTTTACACAGCTGTAATATGTATTGTGGATTTCACTGTACCTACTTTTCTCCCCAGCCAACTCTCTACAAGAAATCTCTCATTCAGAATTATTATGACGAACACTTGAAAGCTGTTCTAAAACAGTAAACGGTTGCTTCATTTGTATTTGTGTGTTTTAGAAAGCAAAACAAAAACCTACTGTGTAATGACGAGTAACTTAGTTTTCTAGTGTGCATCAGATGTATGACTCATAACCAATATTATATTAGATAACATAATTATCAGTGATCGATAGACAGACAGACAGGTATGGTGTATATGGTGTAGAGTTAACTCTTACTATACACACCTATTTAGAAATGAATTAGAAACATTGTCATCTATTATTATAGGCTTACCTTTTTATTCTTAATTAAAATACTACACGATATTTCTGTAATATGATTGAGCATTTCTTTTTACCCTATCGATGAGTATGTGGTAATACTGGTGACAAAGATGAAGATGTTGATAAGAGCAAAAGTTATAGTAATATTTTTATAAAATCAGAAATTGTATAGTAATACTGAGATAGCATAACGTATAACTGAGTATTAGGAGTTAACATTATGTTGTATAGTCTGTCTTGATTAGCTATGGGGTTTAAGATGTACACACATACATGTGTGCGTGTATATGATAGATGAGCACGCATGCACACACACGTGGCCACGTGAGTCTGTGATGTGCACACACACATGTGTGTATGTATGTATGCACACTTGAGAAGAATATAATGTGTAGGGAGGATCAAATGTATATATATTTACTACAAACAACGTGTTATTATTGTATATGAGACAGTATTTTTGTTTTTTTACGCCTTATTTAAAATAATATCAGTGAAAATTAGGCATTGTCTGTGAGATCATTCGCTTTACTTTTGGGCAAAGCATTTACTCGTTAACACTGTTATCATCAGTTAACCCCGGTCTAATTAATTGATTACATACAATTCATTGGAAGGGATTTAAACAATGTGCTTTATCTCATTAATATCGGTAAGTGATGCACTTTCTTTTTTGTTTTATAAATAAGTGATAGCTTTTATTTTCAAGTATTGGTTTTGTAGAGATTTTGTTTTATTGGATGGAGGAGGATTTCATTATAAGCTGACATCAGTTAGAGAACCACTGGAAAATTTGAGAGTACTGGACAGCTGTTTCGTCTTACTTTGGGACTCTTCAGTTGGCTTTGCAACGAGAAGGTCCTGGGTTTGAACCCCGCTGTGTAGGTGCGTGCTGGTTAAGAGTCCCAAATAAGGACGAAACAGCTGTCCAGTACTCCCAGATTTTATTTTCTATGTCGTCCAGTTACTTATGTCCACTTGCTTATACATTGAATTATGTAGTTTTATGTGTATTCTTATTTTCTCATATTGTAAGGAACACCTTTTCGACTGATTAATAAAATTCATCTTAAGATAATAGAATACCTTAAAATGACTATAAGTATATTTAGAATACACACTGAGAAATTCGCTAAACTTTGTTGTTAAAATGACATTGCATCACCTTCAGATGTTGGGTCTAATTACCAGCCACATTGCTGGTACATACATGGTGACTTTTTGAAGAAATAATCGACAACCTTTCAAATCATTCAGAAGGTGTGTAGCTTAGATGATGGATGATTTAACTGTGAAGGTTTCATTGACCATCGAAACAATACCCTCGCTGTTAACTCTTGAAGTTTTCCACGACTTTGTTGTGGTTAATTTTCTCTGCTGAATTTATTATTATTATTTGTTTTACTTGTACTAATAAGATTGATTTTCTTGATGTGACATTTGAAAGTTTAATTGAAGGAATTTGTGTCAATATATACAGTGTTAAGTTCGATAGTGAAAAGAAAGACCTTGATGTTTGACATGTCCAGAAGTTCTTCTCATTGTATTTAGCTAAATTTATGTTAAGAGAGTAACAATTGTTGAAATGGTTATTAAACTAAGTGATAACATCATAGGAGAATGAGCTATTTAATATAGCGCATGGCGAATACAGCCTTCTTTGTTTATTCAAGAGGGACCAGTCAGGATTATCTAACTGTGAAAACATTTTATCACAAAAATTTTTAGATTAGTTAATAAGAAATTTATCCTATTCTCAAAATTTTTTTCAGTTATTAACTTTAGTGAAACACATCACTTTGACACCTCTTAAGATGTTGCCTTTTTATGAAGCAATAAGTACACCTACATTCTGATAATGAACAATCACTTGAATATTGAATTTTATTCAGTTAACAATACTGTGCAAGTATGGTTTGTAACCAGAAGGTCCTGGGTTTGAATCCTGGTTGGTGCGTACTTCTGAAGAGTCCCAAGCTAAGACGAAACAGCTGTCCAGTACTCCCAGCTTGTTTTCCAATGGTTCTCTAACTAACGTCAGCTCATGATGAAATCCTGTAATCAGTCAACCAAATCCCTACAAACCAACACTTGAAAAACATAATTCATATGAAATTGAGTTTCTACCGTGTTATTAGTTTACATTAAATGTGCCGGTGGTTTCTGCATCCAGTCAAGAACGGTTAGTATAGCATTCTGACGATAAATAACATGAAGAGCTCTAGTTTGAGCAGACATTTTTAAAAGTTTATTTAAAAACTGTATTTGATAAATATAACCGTGGCAAATGGCAAGAGAAACTAATTTTTAAACAAGAATGTTAATTTTATGCGCTTTTGGTGACTTTGTCCTCTCTGAGCTAGGCAATTTAATCACTTGTGAGATAATAATCTTCTCCATTATATAACATGATGATATTCCGAGACTGGCATTACAATAAGAAAGATGGGTCTATGAAATAATCAGGGTAAAAAAAGTGACCGCAAAACTGAAGTAGTAGTTTTTATTTGGTTTAAAAACAAGTAGGTAATATTGGTGGGATGTTCTCAGGTTTTTCCAGTAATGAGAGCAGTGAAGGAGTTATTGTTTTTAAGGAAATAACTATTTCAAAGTCTGTAATGTAGTAGTGATATCGGGACAAATGTTAACTTCATAGTGTTATACGCAGATTTCATGTGATTGGTAATCGTAACTTTCACTGACTTACAAAGTGAATAATTTCTCAAAAGAGGCTCCGATAAAACTCACGATGAATTAAGAAAGATAAATACGTATATATGCATAATCTGTTTCCCCCTCATGGATTGGACTTCATTCCATTCGAAAACGGCTTACACTGTGGAAATCTTTCGCCAAACGGTGACATCTGTCCTTCAGTGATATTTCATTCATTGTAACTATACGGTTCTTAAAATGTGGTGTTTCACATGAATAGAGAGAGGAGGATACTCCTTATCAGAGGTGTCATTAACAAATCTAATAAAAATGTTTCTTCACAAAATCTTTCTTTGCAAAAACATTTTGTTGAGTCGTTGTAAATAGATAAAATCAGATCTTATGGTAAAAACACGCTTGTCCAGAAACCGACAGTTGTTAAGAGCATGTATTTAGTTTGCCGGAAAAGATTTTAAATATTCCTACAAACAGTAACTTTGTAAGGTGGTGATATAACGATGAATCTTTTATGGACTATCACCCAAATTCTCCATATAGGGGTTTATAGCGTCTTCAAAGTCTCAGTGACTTAAATTATCCTCTTTTAGATACATCAGACAAACTGTAAGAGACTTAAGATTAAGTGTTCTTAGTAATATTCTAAAATTTATACCTAATTGGATATTGTAATGCCTAAAATTTTCTCACTAAGCATAGCAGACATCCCACACATCACAGTCGATAGGAGTTTAGGAGACAACAGTTGGCATCTAATTTAGGAAGACAGAAAGAACGAGAGTGAACTACAGATTAGTAATGACTGCATTATTATCATTATTTCCTTTAAATCATAGAGGAACATAGGATTTCAGCCTCACGTGTTCATTGCGTTCGGTTCTCTGCCGACGTTTCCATCGGGCTCCAGGTCTATCCGCATGCTTTTATCTCCTCTTCACATGACCTCCCCCAAGTCACCCTCTCACTGACGACCAACTCGCCGCTTCCCTTTTGGTTTCCACTCGAGGGTTTGTCTAGTGATGTCACTTGATGGTTTCCTCAGAGTATGGTCAATCCATCTCCATTTCTTCCTTCTTGTTTCTTGCACAATCGGTTCCTGGTTGGTGTGTCAAGTAATGACAGTGAAAACAACTAATTTTTTCATTCCATCCCATTATAGCTATTGGATTTGTGTTTCCTGTAAAACTCTAAAACAAAACAACTAATCGATCGTATATCTGTCTACTGTAAAAGCATAAAACCGGAGTGAACGGGTTTCTATCTGCCCTCAGTCAAGAGATTAGCTGGTGACAGTTGTTGCCTTTAGATTTAAGTGAATTAGCAACACACCACTTGTCATTCAGAAATCCATTAGACCCAGATTTATTAACAAATAAACACATAATGGTTAGTATACAGGCTGACAAAGATCTAAATAAAGCTCGAGACGAAGCTGTTACTTAATCAACAGTTAATCAATCCAACTCTGAATTGGCGATTCGACGCTACCATCTTCTTCAAATACTAATGCAACTGAATTTCTCTCCTCAGCATGTACACAACTTCTATTAGGTAGAAGTCAATCATCTAAAGTTCTTTATAAACAGAGACTAATACAAATAAGCGTACCACTAACTGTTTACAAACAGAAAAGATAGTTTTTGAGCTCGACAGGAAATCGCTCTTCCTCAATGTGCGTATACTTCATTCTGGATAGTTATCTTGGTAGATAGCGGCTGGCAGTGAAATTCACCATGCACACATCGCCTTACTTGAGGGTCATCAGCTGGATCCACCTGCATTCCAAGTGATTGATTGTGTTCCCGCTTAAACTTGAACCCTGTACACCACGTCGTTTTAATCAGTAAAGAAAGCATTATCCATCAGGCCACAAGAGCCACATCTTGTGCAACCGGTATCAATCATTCGCCGTTGGCTTATTATTGTTACACTGAAATGTTTCGTCTCTGCTGACATTTCAGCCGTTATTACAGACACTTTGACGATGCCTTAGGATTAACGTGAAGTTATTTTGTAAAGCAATTTATGAAAGCCTTGTGAATACACTGATACGATTATGAGTAGTGAATTGTGCTCGAAAAGTCATCCAGTTATCAATACGGTGTGTGCTTATGTGTGTCACTGAGTTTTATCAAATAAATTTATCTAAAATGCGATTACAATAAGTTGACTAAAACACCTAACGTGAATATGAAGGCAAACACTCTTAATTTTTAATTAAAATGTGATGTTTTAGAAAATGCTTTTCCTGATTTCTTGCAATCATCTGACCTCAAATGCAGAATTCACAGGTTTAAAAATATGCATGCAAGAAAACTTGTCCACTCAGGTACATTTGACAGGAAATTAAAAAAATGATGATCTTGTGATCGATTAAAAAGCAATTGCATCTCAGTGTGTTACAGATATAAAAAATAAACAAATAAATATATGTTCATTGATCTCAGTATTGATTGAGTAACACGTGTGCACTTATGCATTTGTTTACATGTTTATTATTTATTAATTAATTATAAAGATTGTTTCAAATGACGGTACTCATTGTCGACTTCCTGCTTCACTTCACTTATTGATTTTTCACTATGACCTTGTAAATCAACCTATTTACTTTTTGTTTGTTGTTAGTTCTTGTGTCGTAATACTTGTGGACGACTTATGAAACGTAAAAAGAATCCATCAGAGCGTAGTGTGGGTCGGGCAATTGTCGATCAAATGGCATTATTTCGGCGTGCTCCTGGTCCATCTTATGTTCCAAGATATTGAATAAGTACCAGTTACATCGAAGTATAATAGGCACGAATGATCGTTAAAAAAGTTTTGGAACTATACATATCCTATTTCCAATACTACAACCTTCCTCTTTACACATATAAAAGCGCTCATTGTCATATTCTCTGTGGTGAATATATCTTAGGAATTTGCATTTATTATGCTATTTCGTTTTTTTTATATCTTCTCTTTGTTTTTAATTCCAAGCTTGAGTTGTTTTCTTGGTAATGTTTGTTCCTTATTATTCTACACAAAGTACGTGTTTTATTTTTATTTATTTTTCTCATTATTGTACATTGAAACAACATAGTCCTCCATCAGTAATTTCTATTTTTGCATCATATTTGTATACTACTGAAACATTAGCAAATAGTTCAAATTTTTCAATTCATTTTTCTCATTCTATCCAACAAGTTTTTCTTATTGTTGACAAGATTCAGTGTGAAATACACATGTTTTATATTTTGCATAGCACTATGTAACTCTTTGTCACAAACAAAGAGGAAACGTAAGGCATTTGCAAAGTCTCTGTACGGTTTATGTGTGTCGTAGAACTTATCGAAACGAAATTTTTGCATGAAATTTGTTTTGTCAGCGAGATGGTACTTCCGGAATTATAAATATTTACTTGCTATCTGTGACACGAAATGTGTCTTATTTATCATAGTAATTTTTTCATCTGTTTTGCGTTTTGTTTTTCAATAACTTTCATACAATTATTTCCTCAAAAAAAAAAATGTTCTGCTTTTAAACCCTAAAATCTCTGCAATTTACTTGAATGACCCGTGTATGCTAGTATGAAAGCAACTCATTCCACTTGTTTCCGGATAACACTGAAGGTGACGACCTGAACATCACCGAGAGCGCTATGCCAAACAAGATGGCAAACTTCAATCTGACCGGAAAACGAAACATTCCTTTCTTAAATGAATTGTCAGCTAACATTAAGTTTTTCAATTAAAGTTCCCACTTTAAATTTAGATTCGTAGACACGAACTGTTAATAAGCTTCTATATATTTCTCCCTAAATTCCCATAAGAAAAGTCTCGACTGCACAGTCTGTCCTCCTAACGCGTCTAGTTTAGTGCGGATACGGTGTCAGGTGGCTCACTATCACGTTGTACTCAGAATAGCTGTTGAAGGAACTCATGTCTTCTCTGAGATTCGAACCGGCGTCACGCAGTGCTGAGATATTACCACTGGGCTATTTAGGCTAACGGTTGACCTCCCCTAGGACTGTAATAGATACTTTGTTTGGTCACTAGGTAGTAATTAATGTCATGCGTATGGTCCTTCGTCTGGTGTAAATTGAATTTTGTCAGTCGACGAGTGCCTACAAACATGAAATCTATGTCTAGGGCATACTCATGATTGCCTCAAATCATCTAACATTAATTCAGTGTGCACCATCATGGAGAATCATCTAACATTGTTACTAGATTGCTAATTTGACTGGTACAATTAAGTCTTCAACAACCCAAGGAGTGAACGCATGATATCGGCTAGTATCAAATCCACTAATTTCTTTAGGTGAAATAACTACCTAGTCAGCAGTCGGGCCTCATAATTCAACTTGCGGAGCACCAGACTAGTAAACCAGATGGAGGTTGCAAGTTCGAGTCCTCCTATGGCCAAGCTTTCACTTAACCTTAAATCTACGGTCTGTCAGCCCAAAGTTCCCCCAAGCACTCTCAATATCATTTTCGTATAAATGTTGGCAAATATCACCAGTTTGATAATTCTGTTGGGAAATTTACTTTTATTAATGTTTAGTGGTTAGCAGTGATAACTAGATAGATTGCAATGACATAGTGAAACTGAAAACGTTAAGATAAACCTAGATGCAATTCAAATAAGAAGAATTTTAGTTAACTAGTTTCAACTCCCCGCTTATTCAGGAAAATCTTTATTCCACTTTCCATAACTAGCTTGATTATGTTGACCAGTTATAGCAGGGTCGATAGTGAATTACACACGGTACAGATGTAACAGGAACGAAGTTTTCACTCTGCATTTATTTTGTAACATTTTTTACAAATCAGTGTTTTGAAACCGTCATTTTTACGTCTGTCTTCAGAAATGCGAAGAAACGTGATGGATATTTGTTATGAAGAGAAGAATACTGCTGTTCAGTTCAATGATATCGCCAAAATTTGATGTGGGTTGATAGGACTGTCAATAATAAATAATAAGGATGTTCCGACAAAACTTCGATACGGAAAGGCAAAAGTAACTCATCTCAAAACAGAATAACATTACTTATTCGCAACTACTCCTAACCCCCAGAGTCGATGCAAAAAAGACTGGAGACCACTAGTCCGATATTATATGGATAATTAGGTGTTCACCACGCAAAAATACATCATATAGAAAGATCATTAACCTCAGAAGCTTAGGTCAATAAATAACTGATTTAATCGGTTGCATAAATTTGGGCTTTAAAGCTGTCCAACAGCATTCTAGTGAATCTGTTGCTTTGGGCTGATGGTGTAAATTTCTTCAGACTGGTTTCAGCTGGTATAAGATTAGTCATAAACATGAACATGTACCAATATTTCTAACAGGTGGCTGAATCCCTCTATCCTCTATATAGTTTATTTTCACCTAATGCAACAACCCCAGTGTTAAAGAATATCTGATTTAATTATCAGAGGGTGTAAAATGGAAGAAAATCTTGCAACTACTAATTATTGAAATTTGGTAAAAAAAAATAAGTCAATCTATTGGTAATGAAATATATGTGAATTCATTAGGAAGATGATTCGTCAAAGACATCCATACAGCACTAATCCCCTAATCACCTTTATCAATAAGAAAAACTAGGAGAACAAGAAGCTTTTGTGAAACTTGAAGACGTTCTGAATGGTGCATAAATTCGGCTGAATCAGATTAATCTTGTTCTTCTGGTTTTCAATATAGAAAAAATCCTCATTTAGATATGTAGAAAACAGAAAGATTGAGCGAAGAAATATTTACTTTTCAATTAGATCCTCATTTCTGGCTCTACTCTAATACATGTACAGCATTTTTATTACAATACACAACAATTTACCAATCAAGTGGCGATATGTTTGTTAACAATAATTAGCCAGTGTCAAAATGTCAGTGGGTTGATAATTAACGAAGAAAATCATTACACATTTAAAAGGTAGAAATGGTTAGAATAATTTAATTTTACAAGGATAACACGTAACTAAAGATGAATGGGCTAGAAAAATTAATAAAATAATTTGGACAATTATAATTTTAAAGTTTTAGGGGGAGGGGGGCGAAGTAGTCCGGTTTATACATTCATGTCACGATGGACAAGGCAAGGAGAGCGGCTGTACAAATTTCCTCTTAACACACAGGTTTGGCTTCTTCAGGTGGATTCCTATTACTTCAGCTATATGTAGAAGACAAACTCGTAGAGTAAAAATTAAGACTAGTAGGAATGCGATAGATAATTTTAAATGCTGTACTAACATCAACCTTATGCTCACTATGTACAAGGTGTGCTACAATAGAGCTACGAATAGACCTTGTTTGTCCTTGCTTTGGTAGGTTCATCATCATATTTCCTAACATCATCCAACATGGTTGGTGCTCTTTGGTGCAATCAAAAATCGATAGATATTCTACTCATATTAACTCCAACTGTTTATAAAAATTTACATCTGTGGGAGTAGTTACATTGGAAGAACAGAAAGAAGGGCATATCTACCATTTTCTGAAGATGTACCAAAAAGCTTACGTCTAAAGGGAACAGATGTTTTAAACAGTGCAATCGCCAGGCAACTCCTTGACACGGGGTTATGAGGTGGACGTCGAAAAGTCGTTCAAAATTATCAATAGGCAAAAAAGCTCAATTCTCCTCAAGTTTGCTGAAGCCATTTCCATCAAGCGCCTGAAACCTGATTTATGTGTCCCGAAAGAAGTGGTTACCGGTCTTTTTTGCCCTCGTAACTGGATATTTTTCATCTCTCTTTCATATGAATGCGTAATCCTGAAAAGTTTCCATTGTGTCTGATTACTATTGTTCGAAATAGTGTTTAATATTACATATATATATATATATATATCATTGCTGTATGCATATATTGATCAATTGATTGATTTTTGTTCAAAATGAACTTTGTGCAAGTATGTTAAAATTGTTTCTGTATATATATTTAATAATATCTTTGGCCTGTAAACAGCTGAAGAGAAGGCAACGAAATGAAAGATATTGCCAGTTTATTCTGCTAAAACTGTAGTTCTTGCTTTGTTCAAATTTATTAAGGGGAATAAATGTATGAAACGACCAGAAAGGATTAGCAACACTGAACACTGACAAGGAAACAGTCAAAAACCTATGGCCCGACAAATATCCAAAAGTAAATAGAGATTGATTGGACATACACAGAAAAGACTGTTGACTGACTGACATCACATGCCAAGTAAGGCCTCTAGACGAACTCAATTTCCAAAACGATAAGTTGAGCGTATCTCTGAGGGTGACATGGAGGAGATCGTATGAAGGGAAGATGAAAGGTTATGAGTAGTCATCGAATTGGCTTGAAAGAACTGTAGAGAATAGAAAGAAATAGAGATGTGCCTGTTGAAGCGCTATAATTCACTTGGAACCTAAGGCAATAATAATATACTAATAGCTTTTATACCAGGACTTAAGGTGATATTAATTCATTGTACCAATTTTTGAGTCGTTCATTTTATGTATAGAGATATCACCGAAAATATCCATTGAGTCTTGAAGAAAATAAAAGACGTTCAGCGAAGAACGACGAATCATCTTCAGAGGCTGTACAGTCGTGTTTATACTTACAAAAAATATATAGCGGTCTATTATTGAGTAATAGGGGGTTACATAATTGATATAATTACTCAGAAGTGGCTTTAGAAGTGAAAATTAAAGGTTGTAAATTAAGTGGGACTCAACGGCACAAAGATAGAAATTTGATAAGGTTAAAATTGCTATTGAGATATGGTAATTTCTTATCTAAATTATGATATCT